CCTGGAGCTTTCGAATCTTTCATAGAAAAGAAAGCTCGTCTGACTTCATCTTTTGAAATTGGAGCACCTAAGTTAACAGCAGTCTCATCGTCCACCTTTGGCCAAAGAGTCTGGACCCAAGGACGATCATGGTTTTCTTCAGAAAATAGTTTAGAGAAGTAAGCATTTATTACCCGTGCAATGTTGTGATCTTCTCTAATCAAGTTTCCAGCATCATCTTTCAACTCCAAGATCTTGCTCCTTCTACGTCTAACAATTGTTTTCATATGATAGTACTTTGTATTCCTATCTCCTTGAGCTATCCAAGTAGCACGAGACTTTTCAAACCACAAATGTTCCTCCTGTTCTAAAACTTGTTCAAGTTCACCCCTTATCTTGCCTTCAATCTTTTCCAAATGGCTTTTATTCTGCTCAGAAATTGCCCTCTGGATACCTTCAAGCCTACCAATCAACCTGTTCTTCTTATGATGGATATTACCAAACACATCTTTATTCCACTGCTTAATAAGAGGAGTGAAATCACGAAGACTATCAACTGTTCTTTGATCCTGACGCCAGTTTTCCTTGATGAAATTGTTAAAAAATTGATGATCCAACCAAAAAGAATGAAAACGGAAAGGGCGTTCCACCCCATCAACTTTGCTTGGCTCTAAGGTAATAAGGATAGGATTATGGTCACTGTTAATACGAGGAAGCACTCGAACCTGGCCTTCATGAAACATCAACCTCCATTCAGCATTGCTACAAGCTCGATCTAAACGTTTAAAGACTCTATCTAAATGAAGAAATCTTGGTCCTCGCCATGTAAATTTAGAACCTATTCCTTCAAGATCAATCATCTTTATATCAGTTAGAAGAGAAGCAAATTTATTACATCTGCTAGTATCAACTGGAGCACCACCACGTTTCTCACTTGGAAAGGCAATTTCATTAAAATCACCTGCAATTAACCAAGGAACCGAGATATCTTCTGATAACTGAAGTAAATCATCCCAAAGCCTCTTCCGAATTTCTTCTCTAGGACTTGCATAGATAACAGTATAAAGAAAAGCTTGATGATCTGCCAATGTAACACGAACATGAATAAATTGATGGGTCTGTTTTAATGCTTGAACCTGACACCTATCATTATTCCATAATAACCAAAGACCTCCCGTAAATCCATGAGCATCCTCCACTATTGAATTATTAAAACCCAGCTTTTTATTATCTGTTTTGCTTTTGAACCACTTACTCGAGGTTCAAGAATAGCTGCCACCTCAATCTTATACCTTCGAACCATCACTTGAAACGTTGATTTGAAGCACTTTTTAGCCGCCCCGCGGCAATTCCATGTAACTAAAGACATTAATCAATGGTAATTTGGCAGGATTGTGGGTCCACTGCCATCCCATTGTCATTGCACTGAGTTTCAGATTCTGAAATCATCTCCACCTCAATATTGAGCTTATGGTTTATTGGGATATGCTTTCCTTTATCTCTACTTGGATCAGGCGCTTTTGGTTGGGACAAGCCATGATCTAAGCCGTTGATATTTTGACCATTCTTATCCACCTCCATTTGATAACAATCTTTGTTATAATCAGCAACAGTACTCCTAGCCACCATGGAATCTCCACCGCTTTTACCTCCAATGTCCTTTCTATTATGAATCGCAACTTGCCTCCTCAAGTTCGTTGTATTATTGTTTGAGGTACCTCTGTCAACTATCTTCCCATTTATTTGATTTTCTTTTTCATGACCTGTCGTAATCCCACTTAACGTAAATCGGTTGGGGTGTTCCTGTAATTCAACATTAGGACGGCTTCTAGGGTTTCTGTGTTTGGACCCTTGAGATGTACTAATATCAATATTAACAGGAGAGCCCACCATATTGACGTCATTTATAACAGTATCCGGATTAGTCGCTGGGATATCATGAGTAATATCATCTTCATTAGAGCCCATTAAAGCAGCGTAACGGGAATTTGATTGATTATCAATCATAACCGGCTGATTTGATTGCGGTTGATTACTCCCTTGATTACTCCATTGATTATTCCCTTGATTACTCCCTTGATTACGCCTTGATTCCCTTCGAACCGGTTCCTGCTTCCTGTTGTCCGCCATTGGAGTTTGAATTTTTGATCGACATTGACGTTGCACCACCATCCAAGGACCTAATCCATTTTTCTGAAACTCAGCCTCATCTTTTTTCCCGTCTTGATTTTGCTGATTATCCTTTCCTTCAACTGGTATCTCAGGACAACAATCTTTACTATGTCCATAGCGCCCACAATGGAAACAAATAAGGCCTAAACCTTCATATTCTATCTGTTTAGTTGCTCCGTCCAACACATATTCACCCTTCAAAGGCTGAGCAAGATCCAGTTCCACGCAAATTCGAGCAAACTGTCCTCTTACATGCTCATTATTTGTCTTATCGATCTTCAACATTTTACCTAGCCAGTTACCAATACGGCGGAAAAAGGCTTCATCATAATACTCCAGTGGGATACCCGGTAATCGCACCCAAGCTGCAATCTTCATCACACTTGCAGCATTTGGTCTAAAAGCTGGCTCCCAACGTCGGAGTGATAAATAATGGCCTAAAATAATCCAAGGACCACCATTTAGAGCAAAAAGAAGATCATCTTTGTTGCTAAATTGCACCACATAGAATCCATTACCTACATCTGTAACGTTAATCTTTCCAGCTCTAGCCCATAGTATTTCAATCTTCTTTTTCATGAAAGCCACTCATGTATTCCTTCCAAGTAGTTTTACAATGAGAGCTTTTTCCCAAACCTTCAGCATTCTTGTTCTTGCTTTTCTAGTACAACCAAAATGAGTTCTACCATCTTCCTCTGTCCACATTTTAATCCCACCATAATTCACATCCTCTTCCTCCGCAGGTGCACTTTGATCAACATTTTCTTCCAAATTCCAATCCATTCCTTCCCAGTCATCTGTTTCACCATTGTGTTGCATGAGCATCTCTCGCCAAGTCATCTTTTTATTACCGTCGTCAACCATCCAAGATTCATGTCTAGGAACCCTAGACTGTGATTCAGTAAACACCATATCTCCATCTTTATTTCTCTTATTACTCCTACGTAGTAGATCTTCTTCTTCTTTTGAAGTTTGGCCTTCAGTAGCTATATTTTCCTCCATGAAAAGGAAAACCCTATCAGAAAATTTCTGCATATATTAATCAGAAGGAATATTAGGCTCGTAGAGAATATAACTTGTTATATCATCATGTGCTCAAACATATTTTTGTTATTTTTTAATCTTTTTAATTTTAGTTTAGTGAATGATTTGGATCCATTCCCTACGATGGTAAGTCCAACACATATATGGCCCAACAGGCCAAAAATCAGGAATTTAGGAGTAAGGAAGCGTGTCCATCTCACATTGACATCATTGTGCAGGCATACAATTATGGCAGTAACTTAGAACTCTACAGCCTCTTGGCAGCTAATAGTTAAAGTACACATAAATGATTTCAACTATACTTTAGGAGTGTTTGATATAAGAGATATTTTTTTTACCTAGAAAAAAAGATGATTGAGAATTTGGTAGAATTTTTTTTATCCCGGGTAAGTTTCGAAAAAGTGTTTGGTTGGCCAAAATTTTGCTGAAAAAATTGAGTTTATTTTACTGATGCTATGTTTGGTTGATGATAAAATATTAATGAGATAATTTTTTGACTCAACATATTATATTCAGTATCTAAGACCCTAGGCAAAAAAAAAATACCAAAAGATCTTTGGGATAATTATTTGCCTTTGTGTAGTTGAAAAAGAAAATACCTGAAAAAATTATTTGCTGAGATTTTTTTCACAATACTCATACCAAACACCCCCTAAAGACGTATTTGGTAGATGAGATATTTTTTTTAATAGGAACTTTTTTTGACCGGTAAGTTACGAAAAAATATTTGCTAAGCCAAAATTTTTCTGGAAATGTTGAGTTAATTTTACTTATGCTATATTTGGTTGATTGTAAAATATTGATAAGAATTTGAACTGAAATCACAAAATTACCTATCATTTTGAATATTGAATCTCTTATCACTCATCAAAACTTAATTTTAGCATTGCATTGTCTCCCTCTCTCCAAGTTCGTTTCTTTCTTTCCAAACATTTCCCCTCACCTCTCTTCCTCTATCCAATATTGGGTCTACCGGTAATGGAGCTGCAAAGTATGCTTTTTCAATTTAGTGCAGTCACTAGGGACGAGTGCCAGAACGTGGCTTCTATTCTTGTGAGTCGTTGGTTGAGAAAAATTAAATTATAAAACTGACCCATTAATCTTGCTGTGAGAAATTTGTTCTAGTTCTTGTGAGAAATTAATGTTGTTACGCGTTGTTCAAAACAAGCTGTTCAAATCTTGAAGCAAATACCAAACATTCTTTTTAAATTAAAATGTCACGCATTCATACAGGAAACAGAGAACCTGAACAGCCAAAAGTCACTGTGATGCCAATTTTTTACGAAATTCAAACGATATTAAAATTCGGAACAAAGTGATTCAAATATATAAGCAAGCGCCTTTTCCAAACAATTATTGAACTCCACGAGACAAAGTCCAATTAATTTATACGAAGAAATTAGCAAGAAAAAAAATAGTATGAAATCAGCTTCAAAACTTGACTTGAAATTTGATTGCAACAGTTCACGAGGTTTTGCTTAGGACTGACAGATCAATATTACTTCGTCGTTGCTGATAGCCAATGGGTGGGACAAAAATAATACCACAAATGAGATGGTATTATTTTTTTGGGATGTGTAGTTAAACATAAAATAATGGAGTAAAAACTATCGTGAGATTGTTTTCGCTCTTACTTGTACCAAACATGGGGAAAAAAATTTCTCACCCCACTTTCCTAGCATTTCAACCAAAAAACTTACACCAAACACTCCCTAAAAGCAAATCTCACAAATATGTATCTTGAATATTGGATAGACTGCATAAGCCACCACAAATCACCAATGAGATAAATGTGTCGTATTAAGGCCGCATAAACACGACATCCAATCAATATATAATGAAAGCTTGATGCTAAGTATGATATCTTATCCATCTTTACTAAAACTCATTAATCAAACACTAATTTAAGTGTCAGAGTGCCTCTTGCAAATACTTTCCCCCGTGTACCGTTGGGGTCTACAAGCCCAATATGTTCCCTTAGGGGATGATGATCGATGTATGGATTACACTACTAGCACAGTAAAGACCAAGCTAAGCGATGTTGGCCCAAGTATGAACTAAACTAACAAATGATGTGGGGAGGGGGTTTAGTGAATGTGCTTAGACTTGTAAATTGACAGGGTAACGATACATAAGATGTCCCTCTCTAATTTGAGGGGGTTATTTATAGGGGGTGAGGTACTTGCTTGGGGTGAGTTGGTGGTAGAAGTCAACTCTCGGAAGGTTAGACCTGGCTGACACTGCTGTGGTGACAGTGGCGCAGTCATTATGCAAGTGATCGCAGCATTGGTTGCTGCGGCTGCAAAGAGGGGATTACCGCTTATGACACCTGGGGTGGTATCTTGCAGGGTTGGTATCCCAAGGTGAGACATTTTGATGTCTCACCTTGGGGGTGGTCGCCCAAGGCATAGGAGTTGGTGTTGTCTTGCCAGTAGGGCTGACGTGAAGAGGGTAAGAGGGGTTTGGGCTTAAGCTTTTGGGCCGCCCAGATACTGGCCTTCCAAAACACTCCGTTTGTTCCCACCAAACAAAGCAATCCAATGTCATATCAACCACCTCGCAAGAGTTTCCTCCAACGACATCCCCCTAAAAAAATAAAGAAACTTTCAAATTGTCATTGTGTAACACCTTAAAAAAAAATAAAAAAAAAATCGAAGTTTATATAAAGTCTTGCCCCCTTCACCAAGTTAAGTGAAAAAAAAAGTCAAAGTCAAGAATTGTTTTATATATAACCACTCCCTTAAGTTAAGTAAAATTTCCATATATACGACCTTCCTCCTAAGTTAGGTAAAAGAAAAGAAAGAATAGAGAGAGAAAGAAAAGGAGAAAAAGATTAAGTAAAAAAAGGAGAAAGAGAGAAAGTAAAAAAAGGAGAAAAAAAAAGAAGAAAACATGAAATAAAAGATAATATTGGGAGAGAATCTTGTTATGCTATTTTCATCTATTTTATATTAAAGTTAGTATTTTAAAATTATTTCTTTAAAAAATGATGCGTAATACTTATTAAACTGAACTAGTGAACAATGCTATTACTCTTCTACAAAATAGGAATGCTTTATACTTGTTATTGCAAGCATTTGCAAAGATGCAGTCCAGTGAGAGGTGTGTATAATTTTGAGTAGTCTGGACTTGTGCTTTTGACTAAAATCTATAGAGACAGTTATGGTGAAATGAGAGATGGGATTGACAAGATTACTGACAAAGTTTAAATGATATTCAATTATTACCCAATAAGCAATAACTGATAAAAAAAGGTTAAGGAGAAGCGTGTGAAATTATACGTAGCCAAACATGTATTGTTTCAACCACTCTTTCTGTTTGACTTTATGCCCAAGTAGAGAGTGATGGGTGTAATTTTAGCGCCGAAATTCACTCAAGTGGGTGCCCTCCCGCACCAAAAAATACTACATCTGTAAAGAACCTTTGGATACACCATCCCAAAAGCTAGCTCAAAGAGTTCCCAAAAATTAGCTTAAAGGGTGAGAGTGCCCAAGATCTTATAAAGGCCACATTAGTTGCTCACACAATCAATGTGGGACTATATATCTCAACACGCCCCCTCACGCAAGAGTCTTTTGGACTAGAAGCGTGGAACTTGACAGACCCAATTTTTGATTTACCTTTTTGTGATTTTTATTTTAATTCCACTGTAAAGTGGAGGCGGTGAGAATCGAACTTGTGACCTTGTAGTCACTCAAGCTCCGATACCATGTAAAGAACCTTAGAATACACCACCCCAAAAACTAGCTCAAAGGGTAGGAGTGCCCAAGGCCTTATAAAGTCCACATTAGTTGCCCACACAATCAATGACTATATATCTCACGCCACAAGTGAAGTAAGGAATAAAGAATTGTTTCATGGGAGGTTGGAGATATTTTGAGTGGTGTTCAGAAAATCTAAACAATCATTAGTTTCCTCTCTCTCTCTACTTGAGTTCTTTCCTCTCCTCCTTTCCTAAAGTGGACATTGTTGGGAAAAGAGAGACAGACAGAGACTATGGACAAAAATGAGATGGAAAGTCTGCAAAGCAATGAGAAAAGCGTGACGGATGATGATCCAAAGATTAACTACAAAGGATGGAAGGTCATGCCCTTCATCATTGGTAAGCAACTTGTGAATTTTACATGACTCTTTGTTAATCTGTCTCACTTGCTCTCCTTTCATTGTTCGACATGAATTTTGAGTGAGTCATCTGCATCATGCAGGAAATGAAACTTTTGAGAAGCTGGGAACCATTGGCACCTTAGCCAACCTCTTAGTCTATCTTACAACTGTTTTCAACCTGAGCAATATTGCAGCTACAAATATTGTCAACATCTTCAGTGGCAGCGCCAATCTAGCTACCTTGCCAGGAGCTTTTCTTTGTGACACATATTTTGGTCGTTACAAGACACTGGCATTCAGCACATTTGCTTCCTTTCTGGTATTAGTCTTGAGATTGGAAACTATATAGGCTCTTAAACATTAACGACCATAAAAGAATTTACTGACACATATATCAGTTAATCCAAAGAGCTAATAACCAAAGCTACCAATTTTCATAGAAGAATTTACCCGATATAACCTCAAGAAAAATTCTGATATTAAGGAATAAAGATCTTTCAGTTGAGTCAGGCATCTAATTCTTGTATCTCCTTGCTTTTTAAACAGGGGTTGCTTGTTATACAATTAACAGCATGGATTAAGAATATGCATCCACCTCAATGTGGAAAGGAGAGCAGTACATGCATAGGGCCAACTACGGGACAAATGGCATTTCTACTGCTTGGATTAGGATTTCTGATCGTAGGTGCTGCAGGGATCCGACCTTGTAACTTGGCATTTGGGGCTGATCAGTTTAACCCCAAGACTGAGTCTGGCAAGAAGGGAATCAACAGCTTCTTCAATTGGTACTTCTTTACCTACACTTTTGCCCAGATGGTGTCTTTATCACTAATCGTCTACATACAGTCAAACGTGAGCTGGTCAATAGGTTTGGGAATTCCTGCTGCTTTGATGCTGTTGTCATGCGTAGTCTTTTTCCTGGGAAGCAAATCTTACGTGAAAGTTAAAGCAACAGGTAGTCCAGTAACAAGTATAGTTCAAGTTATAGTTGCAGCTATAAAGAAAAGGCGACTAAATCTACAAGAATATCCATTGGTTTCACTCTTTACCTACATGTCTCCCCAATCTATTAACTCCAAGCTTCCTTACACGTCTCAATTCAGGTAAATGTCAAGTATTTAACATTTGCTGATTTCTTCATAGAAATGATTGGTTCTAAAATTGTTATATTAACAGGTTCCTTGACAAAGCTGCTATTATAACCCCACAAGATCATATAAACCCGAACGGGTCTGCATTTGATCCCTGGAATCTTTGCAGTATGCAGCAAGTGGAAGAGGTGAAATGCTTGCTAAGAGTAATTCCCATATGGATTTCAGGCATGTTATACTATGTTGTTATTGTGCAACAGAACACAATGACAGTGTTCCAAGCCCTTCAAGCTGATAGACGCATTTTTAACAGTGATTTCACAATCCCAGAAGCTTCTTATATTATCTTCATGATGCTGAGCTTGACTATATGGTTACCCATCTATGACCGACAAATTGTACCTTCTCTCCAAAGGCTCACTAAAAGAGAGGGCGGCTTTACTCTTCTTCAAAGGATGGGTATTGGCATGTTTATCTCTATAATTTGCATGATTGTATCTGGTGTGGTGGAAGAGCGCCGAAGGACTATGGCTCTTACCAAGCCTATTGGAGTAGAACCAAGAAAAGGTGCCATTTCTTCAATGTCAGGTCTTTGGTTGATTCCTCAGCTAACATTGGCAGGACTATCTGACGCATTTACGATGGTGGCACAAGTTGAATTTTACTATAAACAATTCCCTGAAAACATGAGAAGCCTTGCAGGGTCTCTTTTATTATGTGGTCTGGCAGGATCAAGTTATTTGAGTAGTTTGCTGATTTCCATTATCCATCAGATGACAGCCAATTCTGCTACAGGGAATTGGTTACCACAGGATCTCAACAAGGGGAGATTGGATTACTTTTATTACATAATAACTGGTCTAGAAGTCATTAATTTTGGTTACTTCTTATTATGTGCAAAGTGGTATAAGTACAAAGGGATTGGTAGTAGCAGCAGCAGCCTAGAACTCGATTAAGTATGAAGCAATCTGAAATGAACTGTTAATGTTATCTAATGATAGGGTTCATAGTTAATGTCTGAACTTTGAAATAGAGCTTCTACTATAATATTTCTTTACCAAGAAGAATAAGGTAGGTTTTTTTTTTTTTTTTTTAAAAAAAGATATTGAATATTAATTATGCGATTTTTAGGATGGGGTTTGAAAAAAATTTAACTGTAAACCTTCTAATTTTAGTAGTGAAAGCTTTATTGAATTGTATTTTGATTTAGACACAGTTGCGGTATTAAAAGGAAATAAATGTTATGAGAAAGAGATTTATTTAACTGTAAAGAAACAATAAACCCTTAGATATATTATTGATAGAAAGAAAAAAGTAGAACTTTCACTAAAAACTTTGATCTAGAGTACTTAATGGCTCTACTAAATAAGAGAATGCTTTTCAACCTGGTACTTTTAAAGAAAAAATGAAGATATTATGGTAGTGCTTTATGTACGGACAAATCAAAACGGAATGATACATCAAGTTCTGTTTATGTTATATTTTTAAGATGCACCAAGCATAGAATACAACTTATATGTCACCTACTGTCCCGTTCCATTATATTTACCAAACAATGCTAAAAAAAAAGTTCATTACAGATTGGCATGTTTAACTCAACTTTCCTTCCTATTCACGAAGTCAATGATAAAAATTTAATGTTTGTCTATAATAGATAAAATTATTCTTTATATACACATAAAAGTATATGGAGTCTAATTTTTTTCTTTCTCTTTTCTCCTCACATTGTTAGAAATTTTCAAATGTGAATAGTAATTAAATCTCACATCGGTTAAACATAAACAAAGTGATAGTCATATAAATGCAAAAAAGACTCAAACAACTTGAATCTTAAGGGGTGTTTGGTAGGTGAATTTTTTTGAGAATGCTAACCTTTCTCACCATTTCTCTAGTAATTATATTTTCCTGTTAGATTTTTTTTTCTCCTTTATCAAACGCTCCCTTAAGGTTTTAGGTTGTGATGTGATGTCGGCTCACTTATTATGGTTTATCATTTGGCCCATTGGTCCAAGAATCCTTTGCAAAGCTTTTAGGCTTTCCCGTATTATTTTCAACTCGACCCCGCACAATTTTATTATGTGTATAGGAGATAAAATATCTCTAAAATATTTTCTACAACATGAAAAACTTTAAACCCTGAAAACAAACTCATACAATCTTTTTTAAACAAAATAAGTGATGTTATCACCATTAATATTACACTGATAAAGTTATAAACATTGAAGGATTATTGGACATACGCCAAGCTCGCACAAAAATTTTTCTTCAAAAATATGCATTAAGGAAAAATACCAGAAAAATAATACGTAGTTATCAATAATTATCAACATTATGGTAATGCTGAGCCATAAGAAATTTTCTTCGCAAAATGCAAGGGTAAGATTGTGTAGAATCAACCCCCATCCCTACCTTTGCAAAGTGGAGGAGCTTTTGAGCACTAGGGTCACAACTCAGCTTGATTATCTACTGGGTTGAGGTATTGGATCATTGATTGAATCCTAAACCCTAAACCATATAGCTAAATAAAAGTCCATATTACATACTCAAAATTCCAAAAATACAAGTCTGTATTCTTGAAATGTTAATCAGGGAGCACGGCAGGTTCAATATAAGTTCAACACAAAGAAAAATGTTGTGATAGAAGTCACCTATGCCGTGATGAAAAACTGGAATGAGGACCCCAGCAAAAAGGAAGAAAGGAACAAAAGGGAAAGTAGATATTGTAGATAATGCCTAATTAAGACCTTTTTATATTGGACAATGCCTAATGTTTAAGTATTTAGCAAGATTTGAAAAAATATATATTTTGATCCATAAGTTTATGATATTCAGGTCCGAATGTAGCAAATAAAGTATGTTCTAGTGTCTTCACTACATTGCTAAAGCAGGCTAAGACAAACATGCTAGCGATATTTCAAATCTTCAACTTGTATAACAGAATTAAAGAAGAGTATGAACCTGTGTAGAAGAAGTTTTATCATACTTCTCTCCTATTTCAGTGATCTTGTTCAGCAAAGGTTGAAGCTGCAAAATAAATAAACACTTAAAAAAGCAAGCAATGTGGCTATTAGTTATCAGAACTGCAGGTTTCAGAAAAGCAGTACCCTTCTTAAGAAGGAATTCTGTTTTGACAAAAAAAAAATTAAAAAATTAATGTTTATCGTGCTATCGAAAATAAATTTCATCCCCTACACATGTGACTAATGTGAAAAGAAAATAGAAAAAAAAAATATTAACCTTAAATATTTTTATAGATATAAAAAATAAAATTCATTTTTTACATAAAAAATATTATTCCCTGAAAAAAATTAGGTAAGAAATGCAAACAAATACCCCAAATCAAGGGAATCAAATTGAACAGCGCCGATGGAGCTCAAGTTTCGAATTCGAACTCGCTGCAGTGTGCAATCAATGCGCGATCTGAACCGGACGAACGGCACGGCGGAGGATGGCTAGATAGAAGGCGATTTATTTGTCTTCGATTTGAACTGACCGGTCCGGTTCGTTTTTCAACACTCACTGTGGTTTGCCCTTCTTTTTTTTTTTCTTTTTTTTGTGAATACTGTGATCGGCCCTTTATCAACATATTGGTTATCTAATAAAATATAATCTCTAATATATTATATATATCACCGTCGTGAAGCGATAAATCGATTGAAAATATTTTTAAAAATAAATAAATAAACATATTGGTTATCTAATAAAATATAACGTCTAATATATGATATAGATCAAGCTTATATAAGTTTTAGTTTTCATATATTTTTGGTTTTTGACCTTTGACAAATAATTTAATTAAATTGATTCAAAATTATTTATCTTAATTCAGTGATTAGTTGATGATTTTACATAGAAAGGATTAGTTGGATTTAATAATATACGAATTCAAATTATATTTTTTAATTTGAAAATTTTTCACTATATAAATTCTCTATTGTATTTTTTTTCCTTAATATTAAACAATGGAGAAGGTTACGTTTAGAACTTTTTTTGTTTACAACTATTACAACATTAATTATGTTCTCCCGTGAGTACATTACTGAATAGTATACTCCCGGGAGAACATAATTAAGTTGTAAGAGTTGTAAACAAAAAAAGTTGTAAATGTAAAATGCCCCTTAAACAATATATATAGTTAGAAAATTATTACACAATAAGTTTTATAATTAATTATTTATCCTGAATGAAAATTAAATTTGGATATTTTTATCTATAAGCATGGATATTTTATCAATAATCAAATATTATCTCTTGATTATTGTACACGGCAAAAAGGTCTGTGTCTGTGTTTGTGAGCCAACAGCCAAGAGTTTTGAGACCCGTGTCCCTGTTCTTTCTTCTGCAGCGGCAAGAACTACCATCTAATCTCTCTCTCTCTCATTTTAGGTACTGCTAAAATGGATATCCATTGATTTACTGCTCCTCTGTGAATTCTTATGTTATTCCATTTCTGGCTATTGATTAGCTTATATTTTATCATTGCTTTTATTTGGAGGCCTCATCTTAAGATGTGCTGAGTTGACTTGTTTTTATACTAAATTTCGATTCTCTTTTCTGGTTTTGTTCAAATTTGCAATCATATTTTGGGCTTCCGGAAAATTTCCCAGCAGACTTAAAATTAAGACACAATCATAAGAGGTAGCACCGTAGCATTTATTTAGGATGAATTTGGCAGCATTTGTATAATGTAAGTCTAGAGTGGGCAACCGAAACTTGCAACAAACTTTTGAGAAATTTGTATTGTGATCTTGCTTAGGTTTTGGTTTTTTCGGGTACAACAAAACGTTTTGTTTGGTAAGGTGTCGTTGGTCAATCTTAAAATCTAGTGGGCTCAAACGAACCACAAAAATCACTAACTAAAACATTCAAGCAGAACAAGAAGGAATAGAGAAGGGGGGGAATAAAAATCTTGGACAAGAATTTGCCTGGGAGTGAAGTCTAGATCTGCAAATCAGCTACTGAGAGTAAATTTGTGGGTAGATATGGAGATAATACTTGGTGTGGTTTTTTTTTTTTGGAAGTCCATCACTCACTCGTCCTTCTTTCCCTCCTTTCATTTCCCAAGGTAGCACACGATCATGAACCCAATTGGAGAAAGAATGACAAAGAGAGAGACATTGGAGAATGAAGAGGAAAGTTTACTGAAGAATGAGAATAATGGAACAGATAATGACCCCAAGGTTAACTACAGAGGGTGGAAGGTCATGCCCTTCATTATAGGTGAGCAAGACTGCAAGCAGAGGTTTTTGTGTTTTTACATGCTTTGTTCTCTCTTGTTAGTTTTTTCTCCTTAAATCTTGAGTGATTTGTTTGAGTAACTGGCAGGAAATGAGATTTTTGAGAAGCTAGGAGCCATTGGCACCTTATCCAATCTCTTGGTCTATCTCACTACGGTATTCAACTTGGGAAACATCACAGCTACAAATATTATAAACATCTTCAATGGCAGCACCAACTTTGCCACATTACTAGGAGCTTTTTCCTCTGATGCCTATTTTGGTCGCTACAAGACACTAGCATTCTGCACATTGGCTTCCTTTCTGGTAAATTGCTGTAGTCTGGCGCCCTCATCACTCAATTCCATTTCATTTGCTTTTTTGAAAAAGACAATACAGTTTAGGGATATCCGAATTTGGAAAATAGCAATGAGGCAAGGACATTGAGAAAGTATAAAATAATATTTGAGATCGTCAAAAATATAAGTAATTCCATTTTAAAAAAACTTACAAGGAAAGCTATCAACTTTTGTACATTGACAAGCTTAGCTCATTTAATTTGTGCATCTGATTGCTATATTTACTTGCTTCAAACAGGGTTTGCTTGTAATACAACTGACAGCGGCAATTGAGAAGTTGCATCCACCTCACTGTGAAGAGAACGCCATATGCCAAGGGCCAACGGAGAAGCAAATGACATTTCTAAAGATTGGTTTAGGATTACTGATGGTAGGAGCTGCAGGGATCCGACCATGTAACTTAGCATTTGGAGCTGATCAGTTTAATCCTAATACAGATTCTGGGAAAAAGGGGATCAATAGCTTCTTCAATTGGTACTTTTTCACTTTCACTATTGCTCAGTTGGTATCCTTAACAATTATTGTCTATATACAGTCAAATGTAAGCTGGTCAGCAGGTTTGGGAATTCCTGCAGCTTTGATGCTCTTATCTTCTGTAATCTTCTTCATGGGCTCCAAAATGTATGTGAAAGTTAAACCAAGTGGTAGTCCTGTAACTAGTATAGTGCAAGTTATAGTGGTTGCAACAAAGAAAAGGAGGCTAAAGCTTTCAGAATATCTATATCCTTCCCTCTTCAACTATCTGGCTCCCAAGTCAACGAATTCTAAACTTCCCTATACATATCAATTCAGGTAAACAACATCAAGCATTTAGAATTTGGTGGTAGATATGATTGATTTTTAAGAAGTGTTTACCAGATGGCTTATATTAATAGGTTCCTTGACAAAGCAGCGATCATGACTCCACAAGATCAAATAAATCCCAATGGATCTGCTACTGATCCTTGGAATCTTTGTAGTATGCAGCAAGTGGAAGAGGTGAAATGCTTGTTGAGGGTGTTACCCATATGGGTTTCAGCCATTTTGTACCATGTTGTTATTGTCCAACAGCACACTATTTTAGTGTTCCAAGCCCTTCTATCCGACAGGCGTATTGGGAGAAGCAAGTTCATGATCCCGGGAGCATCCTATTATGTCTTCCTGATGATTAGCATGACACTATGGTTACCCATATATGACCGAAAAGTTGTGCCTTTTCTTCAAAGGCTCACCCGAAAAGAGGGTGGTATCACACTCCTCCAGAGGATGGGAATTGGCATATTCTTCTCTATACTAAGCATGCTAGTATCTGCCGTGGTTGAAGAGCACCGGAGAACTCTGGCTCTTACTAAACCTCTAACTCTAGGAATGGAAACGAGAAAAGGTGCAATTTCATCAATGTCAGGTCTGTGGCTGATTCCTCAGCTGGCATTGGCTGGACTTGCTGAAGCATTTATGTCTGTTGCACAAGTTGAATTTTACTACAAACAATTTCCTGAGAACATGAGAAGCATTGCAGGTTCTCTTTACTACTGTGGCCATGCAGGTTCAAGTTATTTGAGTAGTATGCTTATTTCAGTTATCCACCAAACCACTGCCAGATCTGAAACTGGGAGTTGGTTGCCGGAGGATCTTAACAAAGGGAGATTGGATAACTTCTATCGCATCATTGCTGCTCTAGAAATTATGAATTTAGGATACTTTGTGTTGTGTGCAAAGTGGTATAGGTACAAAGGGACGGACAACAGTACCATTGAACTTGATAAAGTGACAAAACAATCTGAAAGAACTGCTAATGGTGTTTAATGATTCCATTCTATAACTATCGCGTAGAAATAGGCTACAGCAATCTTTCATTCATCCGTGGCCCAACAATGAAATCTGATGTTCATCAAGTGGAGCCACAACCAGCATGAAGGTCAAAGTTATATAGAGTATAGCAACAAAAACCCAGTCACTGACTTTGTGCTCTTTCAATTAGATAGTTCTTAGTATCTAATATGTAGATGTGTGATGACATACATTATTCTTACTTTAGTGAAGGGTACCTTTATCCAAGACGTTTGTATTAAAGCACTTAATGTAAGAAAAAAGAAAGTACAGATTAACATGATTGATTATATTTTCCTTACTTTGCTTCCTGCAGATGAAGAGAATAATGGTAATGAGCTCAAGCGTGTTATTTATTAACAGTTGGGTGGTCATTCAGCTCATATTACTTACAAACATTGAACAAGAAAATGAGAAAGAAAAAAAAAATGATGATAAAAAGAGCTATCATTATTTATATAAAATTTATTAATTTTATTTTGGTATCTTTACCCTCTCATATTAGAGAGGTAGATATAAAAGCTGAATTTTACAATTTCTAAAATTATGGAATCTATGTGTTTCCTCCCCCTCTATCTAACTGAACTTGCAGGTCAATATACCAAAGGATCCTGATCCAAACTAATTAATTCTATGCTAAAACTTATAAAGCTATCCGTACTCCCAACCAATATTTTATTCATTCTAAAAATATAGAAAGGGAAAACTTCTGATTATGTTTCCAAAAACTTTTTAAATTCGACAATGCCAACAGTGATGATTTTCAACTGCATTATGATCTTCGAACAATAATTTGGACCTACACTAGAAAAGGAACCTTAATATATTATGGGATATCTGAAATTAAACTACTGTTTCAATAAACTTCTATTCCCTGATATGAATACAAGTCCAAGAAATAGGAACATCGACGGAAGATAAAGGGCTTTATAGTTGTCATGGGGGAGAAAAAAACATAGGATAGCTGCCACATGGTTTTGCCAACACCCACAGCCTTCCTAGCTACGTGAGCTTTCACATACCAATAAGTATACAGAAAGCTACAAGCCTACTTGTGAGACAAAACTTGACTTCATTGAATTTTATGGTGTATGATTGGATTTAATGAATTATTTCACAACAAAAGAGAGCTAATTACGATTTGTAATGAGAATAGTCTCTCTTTCATTGCTATAATTCCCCTCTTCCCAACTGCTATCTTATTAAGGTCCTAGAACAATTTTATTTTTTTAATTATCTATCGGTTCATCAATTACACAACTCGTCCGAGCCAGGTAAGCTCACATGGGAACTCAATACCACTAATTAAGTTGGAACAACTCCTTATCAATTGATCCACGTGCTTGGTGGTAGAACAAACTTTTTATCTACCGTTGTTTTAAGCACCATTGATATAACTCTTAATTATCAAAATCTTTAATGGTACCACCTATTTTGCCAACCTCTTAGAAGCCTCCTCTGCTCACTTAGACTTTTGTGCATTTGAAACTGTTTATGTCAACATGGTACCCTACCCTCTCAAAAGAGTTGCTGTCATCACATGGTTAGTGGCTATATTACTTGAATTTATTTCGTTGGAGAAAATTCCCATTAGAATTTAGACATAAAGTTTCAAGATGCAAGTGAAGAGTGAAGACACAGTAATAGAAACTATATATACATCTCTCTAAGAACAGATATTTTTTTTTTGGGGGGGGATTATTTTCTTCTTTCATTATTGCAGAAAGTTGGCATTCCCGCAGACTAGGGGTGTTAGCAGTCTGGATTGGATCGGTTTTGGAAGCAAAAATCATCCGACCAATCCCTTCGATTTGATCATATAATTATCCATTCGGTTTGGATTTTTTTTCAAATCTGATCTGATCCAATCCAATTTTTTTCGGTTTGGATTGGATCGGTTTTCGGTTTTTTAAAAATCTTTTGTATATATTGGCTTTGTAAATTATTATTTTTTTAAATACAAAAGCATTAGTAAACTATAATATAGTTTTTTTTTTGGCAATGAGATATGAAACTCTACAAAGATAAAATTGTTGATGAGATGTGACTAGATTTTTTCTTGGATTTATTTGATAGTTTGATACCCAATGAGTCTTGGGTTTAAAAATTTTTGGGCTATCATTGGGGAAAGATCCAAGTAGGTAGAGGGGAATTAATATATTGGATCGGTTTGGATTGGATCAGTTTTCATCAACCCATCCAAAAACCGATCAAATCCAATTAAAATATGCGGTTTTTTTTTTGGTTTTCGGTTTTTCGGTTTTCGGTTTTTTCGGTTATCGATTTTTCAGTTCGGTCACCGCGGTTTGAATCGGTTTTGATCGGTTAATGAACACCCCTACCGCAAGCACAATAATTGATAAGTCCCACCTTGAATTTTTTATTTGTATCTCTTCACTATTTTGTGTGCTCTATTTATAGGATGAGTCAGCTACAGAAAATTTATTCTCTGCAATAAAATAAGAATAATAAAATCTTTTTTTTAGTATAATAATTGTATTGAGGTTTGAACATATTAGCTCATGTAAATTAACTAAACCTTCGATCTACAACAGATTTTTAGCCGTAAATAACCTGCGTTATCCTAACACTGCAATAGTAACTGTTCGTTAAGAACCAAACCCCCGGTTTGATTTTAGTGACTAGATCAAATAATTAAAGGTGATGTAGAAAGACGGTTAAGAATAACTATCAGAAAAAATAAAATAAAAATAGAAGTGGTAGTGCCTTGTTAATCATCATTATGTGATCTTTGTAATGTAACGTGTCATAAGTGTGCCAAACAGAACTTTTTTGAGGTAATAACATTAGCCTCTTCTTTGGTCAAACGAGGAAATTGAAGTATTCAACCAAACCCAGCAATGTTGAGTGTTGACAGTATCCATTCGTGTCCCTTCGGCAGTGAACCAAACCCCAAAATGGGGTCTAGCCTCATCAATTAATCATCATTATGTCACTGGCCTCTTTTTTTAAAAAAAGTGCTTAGTAAAAAATAAATTGGACTAATTGAATAAAACTGATTAAGATTTATATAAATGTTGGTGATGTTTTGCAAAATCAGAGAATTGTACAGAATTGTGCAAAATCAAAGTAGCAGTGGACGCGTGGAATCCCATATGAATATAGATGAGAGCCTTGTGTATTGTTGCTTTCTGTAATACGTTGTTATATTAAAAAAATGGGACCATGCAGGTTGCCAACTGAATGGGCTATTGCCATTTTCACGATAAAAGTTTTTTGCCCTCTAGAATCACAGAATATTCGATGCTTCCTTATCAAATATAATAAAATATAGAAAAAAGTTCAGCTCATGTAGTTTGCTTCAGAATCACTTATGTTCCTGTGATTTTTTATTTTTTACAAAGCACAGGGGCATATGTGATAAAAAAAAATCACAGGAGCATAAGTGATTTTGAAGCAAACCACAGGAGCATTGGTAAAATTTTCCCTAAAATATAATACTTTTACATTGCTATTGTTTTTATATTTTTTTTTATTCATATCTCTTTTTTTCTTTTCTTTTCGGGACAAGGACTATGTGATCCAGAATCATAGAAATTTTTCTTCCTTTGCACGCTCTTTAAAAAATCCATTCATTACCAATAAGGTATTGGCCGAGTGCTGGCAGCTTAAGGCCTTCGTAAAGTGGAGAATGCAAATTTGAGATCTGGGAAGTGCATTTATTAGGAGGAAGAATCTTTATCTGCTCTCAATCCCAAATCGGATTAGTCTAAGGGTGTGCATGACAATTATTCTATTCTCGAGCACTGTTCTATTTCTGTGCCTTGGAACAGTTTCTGAGAAAAAAAATGTTACGGCACACGTCCTACAACAGAAGTCAAATAAGATAGAATCTTGTTTGGAAGAGTGCATATCTTTTGGCTACCCTAAGAGAACTAGGGATGATTTTTTATTTAGTCTTAAGGACAAGATAATCTAAGTGAGCACTTACATGATTTTCTTAAAGGAGGACTAGATGAGAAATTATAAGCTCTTAAGTTAGGTTATTCTTGATGAGATTTATCTCAGCTCAAGAATTTCCAGAATCTCTAGAAGCTTCATCCACTGTTTCCTTGATTGTTCAAGAGGGGATAGATATATCTCTAAGTGAACAAACAAGAGAACTATGATTGAAAATTCAACATGATAATATATAAGTAAAACTAGTAGAAATATTAGTATCACATGTAAAGGAACAATATCAAGGATAAGCGGATCCTCAAGAAATTAAAGATCCATCATTTGACCCACTCTTTGTTTTACCTATAAATACACAATGTCTAGTGCAGTACATTCGTAGTGGAAGAGAACCTTGTTAACTCTCAAGTTGTCTCTTGTTGAGTGACATTGATCCTACTAGTTACGATAATGCACTAGAAGATGTTGTTGATCAAGTGTTGCTCAAGCTATGAACAATGAGATGAAATACTTGTATTTCAACTCCGTTCGGTCCTAGTAAAAACACCAAGAGGGGTAAAACCCACAAGGTGCATGTGGACATAAAAGGCAAAGAGAGGATGGACAGGAAGGTGAAAACCTTCAAAGCTAGCTTGGAGGAAATTTTTGCCAGACGCCATGCTTGAGTCTATCCAGATTCTCTTAGTTGCTATAAGTCTCAATTATGATTTCATTTTGGGAGTTGGATGTCAGGATATCTACATACAACAACCAAAAGGGTTTATAGCAAATGGGTAGGAACACACGGTATGCAAGTTGTGAAAGTCTATTTCATAGATTTAAGCAAACATCCAGGTCTTGAAACATCAGTTTTGATCAGGTTATCAAAATTTTGATTTTGAGAGAACCTTGACGAATGATGTGTATTTGTATGTAAAGGATCAAACGGAAGACAGTAGTTTTTTCTGGTACTTTATGTAGATGATATGCTCCTTATTGGAAACAATGTGGAGGTAATATCAAGCATAAAAAGTTGGATATTTGTCATTCTATTGATTATGATTTATTGTATTATATTTATTAATTAATTTTTAATTTTTAATAAATTAAAATATTGAATAAACCGAAATCAATGATAAAAAATTTTTTTGTAAGAAGTTATAAAATTTTTAAGTTATAATTATAAAATATCTATATTGAAAGTTTAAGCAGCGAAAACTCATCCCTGATTTTACGGGTAACGGTTTTGTGAAACTACAAATTATAGAGAAGTGTAAGTCAATATGTCAAACCGCGTTTCTTTTTCTTCTAGAAAACTTTTGACCTTAAATTGCAGCTTTTACTATACTTCGTCACTCATCATTAAAGCCATTGAGTGCCGTACTGTTAGGCAAATGTTTCTGAATTTATTTTAAAGAAAAATTATTAAAAATTAAATTACTTTTAAATACTTCTAATCATACTTAGGTACGTCTGTTAGTGCAAAAGCAATAAGTACTTTTAAGCCAAACTCCTCAAAGAAACATGAAAGGGAAGTGGTGTTCCTTCCAATCTAATTAAAAATATTACATGAAAAGGTTCCAAATCCATGTAACAACACCTTTTCTTTTACGCTAAAAGGATAACTACTTTGAATTCTACCAAATATTATACTTTCATGCATGCGAAATATTATATTTGTACATTTTTTTGTTTACAAATTTTTATAAATTATATTATATTTGACTAGTTATATTTCAATAGAGTGATTGTGATCGTGATCGTGCATGATACTTATGTGATTGTGATCGTGCTCGTGCCTATGTCATTAGCCTCTTTTTTGAAATGGGCTTAGTAAAAAAATTGAATCAAATTGATTAAGATTATCGACAATGATAGTTAAATAAAATATTTCATAAAGTGACCACTTCATAACACAACCCCCCAATATAATAAGGATAAAGTGTGTATCATTTTAAAGGATGTAAAGTTGTGTCATTTTAAGAGAGAGAAAGAGATAGATAAAGAAGGAGAGAGAGTTGACAAAAAAAATAAAGGTGTGGGTCCCACCTCTTTGTGAGAGTGAAATGATATAAATTGTGTCATTTAAAAGGATAAACACTTTTCCCATATAATAAATAAAATTTGTTTAGGATGACTAAAAAAGTTATAACATAGTTAGATAATTGTTCTCTTTTAATAATAATAACATATATGATTCTTTAAATTAACTTATTTTATGTTTAAAATAATTTATAATTAAAGTTTTATTTAAAAATATTAATGAGAATGACATTTGAAATGTTTTTCTTACTCGTGATAACTATCAGACATAGAAATACTGTATTAATCTCATGTTCAAACATTTCACATCGTAAGATAAGACAAAAGACCAAATGGAAAATACTTATTCATAAGTTTCGCAACTCAATCATGATTCATGAGTGATAAAATCATTATAGACTTGACCTCTCCGAAATCATGTATGATAAAATTATTAAAATGTGATCTTTTCGAACTCTATCTCTAGCTCATTATAGACCCAAGAAACAAAAAAAAAAAGAAGAAGGTAATCAAACAAGTGCTGCAAATAAATAATTTTTGGGTGTCAGTCAAGGTGAAAACTGAAAAGGCACGGTTTGAGAAGACTTTCCAGCATGAAAATTGAATGGTACATTCATTTTTGTCAGTTTGGTAATGGATCTCAGGTCACCAATGACGACATAGTGGGTCCAGTAAAACACTAAAGGAGATTATGTTCACACTTCACATCGTCACATTCAGACAAAGATTGACCCAAACACATAACACTGAGACTTACGTGCTAATCAGGGAGGGGAGACTAAGACCAGTAGTGAATTTTGGGCTGCCAATTTTTTTTGTATTATTCATTGGTTGATGGATCATATTGAAGAAAAGATTAATTGTTGATTTTTTTATATTACAAAAGCATTTACATTATTAAATATCAGTATTTCATTAAAAAAAAATAACATTCTATGTATTTTTTTAGTAAGAATGAAAAAAATTATACCAACGTGTTAGGAAAATATTATAATATATTTATTAACAAAATCAAACTATGTCAATATACAGACTTTTCTTTTTATTAATTTAATTGCTCGAGTAAATTGAGGTTGCAGGATTTGAATGTGTTTGGGTGCTGCAGGATAAAATCTTGGATGCATTATATGTAGGTTCATTTTTATTTAATGGGAAAAGTTTTTAAGATTTAGTAAGAATAATAAAGAAAGCAAAGATATAAATAAAAAAATAGTTTCCCTATTTTAAAAAAGGAAAAAGTATGTGTTATTTTAAAAGATGTAAAGTTGAGTCATTTTAAATGAGGGTAAGAGATAAATCATAAGAGAGAGAATGAAAATAAAAATATAAATTTCATCTTTTTATAAAAATAAAATAACATAATTTATGTCATTTGAAACGATAAATTCTTTTCCTTTCCAAAATACGTACCGAAGTAGGTATTGTATTGAAAAAATTTCCCTGCTGAAGGTTGACTTGTGATTTATAGTATGCTTTACAGGTTTTCGGTTTTTGTTGCCACTTACCACGTAGGTGATGAGATAAAGAGAAGAGAGAATAGAAGGACATGTGTGGGGTAGCATTGAGGTGAGTGCCCAGTTCATTTAAGAAAAGTAAAGGGCGGGCTTTAATTATAGGGAATTATTATTTTTATGCCCTAAGAGATAGGATATCTTACGTGATAAATTCAATATATGTGGGTTCTATTGGTTTTTTTAAAAAAGAAAAAAGGCAAACACGGATATCGAAGGGTGAGTAAGAAAAATTTTCTGTCTTATGCTGCATGAGATTAACTAACACTTAATAATAATATATAAATATTATTAAATTTAAAATATTGAATAAATAGTTGAGTGTAGTATTACAAGAATATATAAAATATTAATTACATTTAATTACTTAAAGAAAAATAATAAATGCATAATAAATTCCAAAATATCTATCTACAGATGTATGTTATTCTTACAACAATATAAAAATAAGAAGTCTTATATTAATTATTTTATCATTAATTTATTTGTATTTAATTGTTTATATATTTAATAAATCAAAATCATTAGATATAAATATAACCAATGGCCAATATTGAGAGTAAAACTTATACCGGTGTCAAAAGATCCTGACCCATATATTATTTTTAATTTAATTATTAGTTTTAAATTCAGGTCAAATATAAAAAAATATTTTAAATGATAAGAACTAACATGTTACTTTCTAAAATAAATATTATTATGGTGTTCTTCCTTTGACTTCCCAGAAACTTTAATATATATGTTCAACTTTCACCATTCAAACATCATAATTGCATTTCCTCGTCGATGCAGCTAGGGAGTGACACAGATTATATACATAACATAATCATGAATACAAGAGGGGAAAGAGAGACAGAGAAAACAACTACGATGACAACTGAGAAAGAAATTGCGGAAAATAATGAGAAACATGTGACAGATGATGATCCTAAGATTAACTACAGAGGTTGGAAGGCCATGCCCTTCATCATAGGTACACGCTTCTTCTTCTCACTCTCTCTTTGTTTTCAGTGTTTTCTTTCCTTGAACTTTTTGAGTGAGTGGTGTGCCTAAATTGCAGGAAATGAAACTTTTGAGAAACTTGGAGCCATTGGCACCTTAGCAAACCTGTTGGTGTATCTCACAACAGTATTCAACCTGAAGAACATCACAGCTACAAATATTGTTAACGTCTTCAGCGGCAGCACCAACTTTGCTACCTTGCTAGGTGCTTTCTTCTCGGATACATATTTTGGTCGCTACAACACATTAGGATTCTGCACAGTCACTTCCTTTCTGGTATTTTATATATATAGTTTTCATGTTAGAAAAATATTAACATAACTTTTAAATAAATCATACATATAATTTAATAGACATCATGTGGTACAAATGAACCATGTAATTTTTCTTCCCTGCATCCGAACAGGGATTGCTCGTGATTCAACTCACAGCAGCATTTAAGAATCTGCATCCACCTCACTGTGGAAAGGAGAGCAATACATGTAAAGGGCCAACACTGGGTCAAATGGCTTTTCTAGTGGCTGGTTTTGGTTTGTTGTTGGTAGGTGCTGCAGGGGTTAGACCATGTAACTTGGCATTTGGAGCTGATCAGTTTAATCCCAATACAGATTCAGGAAAAAAAGGAATCAATAGCTTCTTCAATTGGTACTTCTTTACCTTCACTTTTGCCCAGATGGTTTCCTTAACATTTATTGTCTATGTCCAATCAAATGTGAGCTGGGCAGTGGGTTTGGGAATTCCTGCTGCTTTGATGCTCATATCATGTGTGATGTTTTTTATGGGAACCAAAATTTATGTCAAAGTTAAACCAAGTGGTAGTCCCATGACTAGTATTGTGCAAGTTATAGTGGTTGCTACCAAGAAAAGGAGGCTGAAACTACCTGCACAACATTCAATGATTTCCCTCTTTAACTATGTGCCACCCAAGTGTGTTAACTCCAGGCTTCCTCATACATATCAATTCAGGTAACTATATCAAGCTTTTTAACTTTTAAGTACTCCTAGTAGATAATTGATTTCTGAACTGTTCTAAGTTTCTAACTGGGATGAATTTTGCATCATAGGATATTGGACAAAGCAGCAATTATGACCCCACAAGATAAAATAAATCCTGATGGATCTGCAGCTGATCCTTGGAATCTTTGCAGCATGCAGCAAGTGGAAGAAGTGAAATGTTTGCTGAGAGTGTTACCTGTATGGTTTTCAGCCATTTTTTACAATTTATCTATTGTCCAACAGCACACTATCCTTGTCTTTCAAGCCCTTCAATCAGATAGACGTGTTGGACACAGCAATTTCAAGATCCCTGGTGCATCCTACTTTGTGTTCTTGATGTTGACCATGACATTGTGGTTACCCATCTATGATAGAATAGCGGTCCCTTTTCTCCGAAGGCTCACTGGAATAGATAATGGTATCACAATCCTTCAGAGGATGGGAACTGGCATATTTCTATCTACACTAAGCATGCTAGTATCTGGTGTGGTTGAAGAGCATAGAAGAAATCTTGCTCTAACCAAACCTATTGGAGTACAACCAAGAAAAGGTGCCATTTCATCAATGTCAGCACTATGGCTAATACCGCAGCTAGCACTAGCTGGACTAGCTGAAACATTTAGTGCTGTTGGACAAGTTGAATTATACTATAAACAATTCCCTGAGAACATGAGAAGCATTGCAGGGTCACTTTTCTTTTGTGGCATGGCCGGATCAAGTTATTTGAGTACTTTTCTTATTTCACTTGTTCACCAAATCACAGCCAAATCTGCAACAGGGAATTGGTTACCAGAGGATCTTAACAAGGGTAGATTGGATTTGTTTTACTACATGATTGCTGCTCTTGAAGTCATGAATTTGGGGTACTTTCTATTATGTTCAAGATGGTACAGGTATAAAGAAACTGATAGCAGTAGTAACCTTGAACTCAATGAACTACCCAAACAATCTGAAATAGGCAATGCATGAAGGGAAAGAATCCGTTTACAAATTTTTTTTATAAATTTTTGTAAATTATACTAAGTCTGACCAGTCATATATTCTTGATTAAAATATAACTGGTCAGATATAATGTAATTTATAAAAATTTGTAAATAAAAAATTTACAAATATAATATTTTCCATGCACGAAAGTATAATATTTGGTAGAATTTAAAGTAGTTATCCTTTTAGCGTAAAAGAAAAGGTGTTGTTAAATGGATTTGGAACCTTTTCATGTAATATTTTTAATTAGATTGGAAGGAACACCACTTCCCTTTCATGTTTCTTTGAGGAGTTTGGCTTAAAAGTACTTATTGCTTTTGCACTAACAGACGTACCTAAGTATGATTAGAAGTATTTAAAAATAATTTAATTTTTCTTTAAAATAAATTCAGAAACATTTGCCTAACAGTACGGCACTCAATGACTTTAATGATGAGTGACGAAGTATAGTAAAAGCTGCAATTTAAGGTCAAAAGTTTTCTAGAAGAAAAAGAAACGCGGTTTGACATATTGACAAACTTCTCTATAATTTGTAGTTTCACAAAACCGTTACCCCTAAAATCAGGGATGAGTTTTCGCTGCTTAAATTTTCTAGATATTTTATAATTACAACTTAAAATTTTTACAACTTCTTACAATTTATTTTTTTATCATTGATTTTGGTTAATTCAATATTTTAATTTATTAAAAATTAAAAATTAATTAATAAATATAATACAATAAATCATAATCATTAGAATGACATAAATCAACAGTAAAAAAATGGGTTATAAGAGATTATAAAATTTTTAGGTTATAAGAATAACAACTTTTGTAATTTTTTTGGGAGATATTCCAACAGATTCATCATTTCTCAATTTTTTGGCATCAACTGAACTATCATCATTTGATACCATCTCTTCTATAACAAGATATTAAAGTTTTATGTTATATGGTCTATACTTTTGATTGTAGTTGCATTTATCTTTTAAAAAATAAGCTGAAGTAAAATTCAACATAAAATAAGGAAAAGAGATAATACGAGTTTTGTATAAAGAAATATATTAAATAAAAAATTATTTATGTGTTTTTATTTAATAACTTAAGCTTTTTAAATAATTGGTTGATAATATTAACTCCAAATAACTTTTTTCTCTTTTTAAGTTCTTGTGTCACACAAATACTTACATTTAAAATAGCAATGTGTCAAAGTTTAGCCACCACAAATTATATAAATTTTATTTATGCAAAACTCTCTATCTAGCTCTCTCTCTCTCTCTCTCTCTGACTTGGGTTTCCTTTGCTTGTAAAAACAGTGTTGTTTTATCTACTTAAAAAAAAAAAAACAGTGCTGTTTTTCTCCTCCTGCATCCTGTGGATCAAATGGGGTAAGTTGAAATATTATTTAACATTTGATATCAACTTTATATCTTGATCGTTTCTTTAGAGGGTCCCAATTTCTGATGTCGCTGAATTACTTTTTTTGATGTAGCAGATACAATAAAAATGAACTCTACCAAAAAAAAATTTCAACAAAAAAAAAAAAAAAACTAGTATCCGCATGCATATCTTATATGTTGCTAAAAAAATTTCTTGCGACAATAAAAATATAAAAGCCTTCTTTAAAATGGTCTTATTTATTTATTGCATCTCGGAAAGCATGCACACTGACAGCAAGACCGACAGGCAGGTCCAAAACATGCATATTTATATTTCAAAGCATGTTCAAAATAATGCCTCCATAGTCAACTGCAGGTCTGTATCAAAACAGGCGAAAATTCTAATATCCTACCTTATTACCTATATGTCGCCTAATAAAAATATAATATTTGTACTGACATAATTTTTTTAGGAGAGAGAAAATAATTATGTCTATATATTTTTCAATTAGATTTGCGAAAGCATTTAGACCATTACGATTTAAGATACGAGAGATCATCATCATTTTATGTTTAGTTCTTGTTTTGTATATCTATGCAGTATTTTCTCATATTTAATTCCTCTTCACGAATTACTTTTCTTTGTAAGAACAAACTCCTTGAGTCTAGTTAGTGGTAGATCTTTCAGACTATCTCTTAAGGAAAAATAGAGTCGGTGTGTGGGCACTCTCTTTCTGTCAAGGAGATGACCTTACCTCAGCCTCTAAAACAACCAAGAGAAGACCTCCGAGGCTAATGACTATAAGTGTAGAATATATATGAGTTCCAGAAACCCTAATCCTAAACTGAATGGGCTCTAGGTTTCTTGAGCTTTTCTTACACACTAGATCCTATTGGACTTTAGTAAAAAAGCAAAATTCAACAATCTCTCACTTGCTCTTGAGTACAAACTTAAGCCCAAAGTCCAAGTCCATATATCCTACTAGTCGTCACCAACTAAAATTGTTTTATCCCTTATCTCGAGCTAGCCTGAGGATCTACCAGTTGTTATTAATCAAGACTCCTGATAATCAACGAATGATTATCTAATTCGGTGTTACTTCACTAAAATTCTGAACTTGAACTCCAAGATTAATAACACATATAACATGAATATGCATTGCCCCTTTGTAGAATGTCGATAATTGACTGATGAACTTTCTGTTACTCAATCAATTATTTATTCCCTTGACTATGATAGTTTCTCTAATGGATTACAAGCACTGCCCAATGTCTTCAATATCCAAGTACCGAAACATATCTCATGTTGTTTATCTCATAAATATCGATAATCAAATAATTTCACTCCCAAAATACCGAGTTATTGGTAATCAATAGATCGATCCTCACTCGTTGGTAGATCAAAGAATGAAGACTATTTAATTACCTATTTATAATAAACTCAGGATTAAGAGTAATCACATAACTATAGTTAATTGGAGATTTGATGCCTTATGACAGAAAAAATAACCTTAATCAAATCTCTCCTTGATTCTTTCAATGTGAATGTTCATTTACTCCAATATTTTATAATGATTTGGACAAAACCATTTCATAAAATATTGCAGACTAAATAAAGTGCCCAACTTTATTTAACAGCTGTGATCCAATTCAACAACCGTGAGAACCTATGATCATGTCCTCCATGAACGTACCCAAATGATCATATACTCCACAATCGATCCAGACCTTAATGTTTGTACATTGTGTGGACAAAACAATGAATAATTCCTCATTTGTAAAATTCAAAAAATGATTACATTGTTTCATTGTCTTACTCTAAGAGCACAATGAACACAATATCTCTCACTTGCTTAATGCAAGTTTGGGATCTTCCTAAGACACAAAGAAGTAACATGCCTCTTGAACACAAGTTCAGGCAAACTCTTAGTAACTGGATCTGCAAGATCTACCTCTAATAGTATCCTAGTTTTGTAAAAAACTTATAGTTTGACGTTGATTTTTTTTTTGAGTTAATATTCACTTGAAAAATAGATTATGTGAAAGCTCAGCTTTTCAAGACTCCCACTAGAATATACCAGCATATATTCTCTCATTCCCCAAAGTTAATTGAGTACATGCTTAACAATAATCTAGTGTTCCTCGAGGTCCAGAATAGTACCGTCTCACTACTCCCACTGTGTGGCAGACGTCTGGTTTAACGCTCAATATGATATGCATGAGACTACTTGTTGCCAAAGCATAACATATCCTACTTATGCATTCTTCCTTCTCAAGAGTCTTTAGAGGTTAGTTGTAACACCTCGTATATATCCGGTAATGTTATCATACTATCGTATTAAGCAGCGCTTAATTAAAAATGCGGAATATCTTTTTCTTTTCAATTATGATGTCATTATCATTACCAACTTGCTTATTAATCAATTAATATAACATCGCCTGTATGTAATTGCAATAAAACAGCTAACTGAAATACCTCATAACATAAATAATAAAAGTGTGTCTCTAGAAATCACGGGACTACCACAAGTAGGCCGGACCAACTAGCAGATTATACAACTCCAATCTAAAAGTACTAACATAAAGTGTCATGGACAATCCCCATGCTCACTCAAATAAGGCAACACGCCCAACATCAGTCTCAACAACAACATAATCATAAATAGCGGAAAACATAAACAGCATCAAAATCCAGTCATGGCAGCAATACAACATAATATCATAATCAGCTAAGCTCTGGCCTCCTGCCGCCAGAGGCATCAGTCACCATACTACCTGAACCTGAAATAAGCATTCCCCAAACGTGGGGTGAGATCTCTAAACAAGAAATCTCAGTAAGACAAGGGGTCCTCAAGGATCTTCCACCCCAAGCTCACTTACATGTGCAATATAAGTTCAAAAGCAGTTTATCATCATCAGTTTTAAAATAGTGCAATGCAGCAGATAATCATGTCATGTGTGTCAATTCTATTCTACTGGCCAGAGAAATGCAGGATTTATATACGCCAAATACCCACACATAGTGCAAGACGCCACTTGCATTCACCCCGGATCACCATATGTATGACGCCACATACTCAGGCTTACCGTCAAGATGAAACAACACATGCATATTAAAAGTCATTACACATAAAGCTCAACAGCATTTCAAATATTCAAAGCATGTAACACAGCATGCTAATAACCACACCCCCATGGGACATGGTGGAACCACAACATGGCTAAACCGAGGACACAAAAGCTTACCTTGCAAGCTAACACCCAAAGCCAAGAGTCCACAGGTCAAAATCCAAACACAGCAGATTCACAATCTGTTATGGACCAATACTATATCAATAATAATGCACCACAAGCATATAACTTAAAGACAACGCCATTCATTTACGTTTTACGTCTTAAGGCTCCATACCAAGCCATAAGCCCTTAATCACTTGATTCTGACTAAATTCATTAATTACAGAAGTTCAACTTCATCAATCTAGGGTCCACAAACCCCCAATAGCCTACTGTACACACAGCACAGCTACTGTTCTACGAAATCTCAGAATATCCGGATATTCCTCGGGACCATATCCGGATATGCAATATCTGGATATTTCACTGTACATATCCGGATATACAAAATCCGGATATCCAGATTCCCATATCCAGATATCTAATATCCGGATATCCAAATCTCATATCCGGATATCACATATCCGGATATTTCTCGGCCACATATCCGGATATTTCACGAAAGAATGCAGAAACTGCATTTCG